GGATTTCAGGGAGAGTTGAATCGAGTCCATCGACGAGAACGCATTGCAATTCATTGTAGCATATTTTTCCATACGTTTTATGTTGTATCAGTTCAAAATAAAGTTAATTGTCATGAGTTAGTGAATCATTTAAACGGATTATTTTAAGGAAACATCGAGATAAAAACATGGTCCTTCAGCCGAATGGTTATCGTTCAAGTTATGGTACAAAATACACTGCTCTCAGCGAGAAGTAAACAGGCATTAAGGAATTGGAGAAATTAATCGAATCCATCGTGAACACCGAAGACAAACCAAACCGTAAGTCTGTATCATTTTTTCCATTTTCTACATATTTTGTGCTCTAGTTGGGTAAAAACGTTTGATATCATTTATCGTATCGTCTATCGTTATCGTATTGTCATTTTATCGTAGAAATATCGATTTTCCTATAACTTCAACTTATCGTGAATCGTTGTTTGAGAGAAAAATAGCTATGACGGAGGAATTGAGAAAATTGCGTTTAGAAAGAGCACAAGTTAAGAGTGCCTTAACGAGGTTTATTACTTTCATTGATAAATTTTCAGACAATAAAATCATACAACTTGAGTCTCGTTTGGAAGATTCAAAGCAAATTTGGTTAGACTTCAATAGAATTCAGGGTGAAATAGAGTTTTCGGATGAAACCGAATTGGATAATTGTACTGAACCTGAAAATTTCGAAGATAAATTTTATGAGATTATAGAGAGGGCAAATCTACTTATAAAACGGGTTAAAAGTGAAAATAATACAGGAAACGTTACAAACACATCCCAGCAACCAATTTTAACGATTAGTCCGGTCAATAATGCAACCAATGTTAGATTTCCAACTCTCGAATTACCCAAATTTTATGGAGAATACGAGAAATGGGGTCAGTTCAGGGATATGTTTTTAGCGTTAGTACATAATGACGCCACAATGGACAAAATGGAAAAATTCTATTATCTCATAAGTTGTATAAAAGGGGAAGCTTCAAAGGTTATAGAGGCAATCGAAGTAACTGAAAGTAATTACGAAAACGCATGGGACTTATTAAAGTATAGATATGAAAATAAATTATTGACCATAAAAAACCACGTCAGAGCATTAGTTGAAGCGCCAGCCATTGTTAGGGACGTTCGTGCCAATTTACGTATGACCTTATCAAATTAGGCGAAGGTTTTCCTATATTACAGCGAACCCTTTTAGGTTGGGTTGTCTCTGGGCCAGTAAGTACTGGGCTGTATAACTCAAATAAGATCATTTGCAATTTAACTACTACTGCATTAGGAAATCAAATCGAGAAATTTTGGAAAATAGAGGAATGTCATAAACGTACCAATTTCTCTTTGGAAGAGCAAACGTGTGAAAGTCACTTTATTAATACAGTCAAACGTGACAAAACGGGTCACTTTGTGGTTACATTGCCATTTCGCGAAAATGTGGGTAATTTAGGGAAATCTTTGGACAGTGCTATAAATAGACTTCACTCAATAGAACGAAAATTTGCAAAAAATCCTACATTTTATTGCTTATATAGCAATTTTATGACAGAATATAAGAATCTAGGTCACATGACGAAAATCAGTATTCACGATTCAAAGTTAACAGAGTCAACCAAATCATTTTATCTGCCACATCATGGCGTTATGAATGAAATTAGCAGTACTACAAGGTTGAGGGTTGTTTTCGATGGGTCATGCAAAACTAACACCGGTATATCTCTTAATGATAAATTGATGGTAAGACCGACAATATAGGACGACCTTTTCTCTATACTTATTCGGTTCAGAAAACACAATTTTGTTATTACCGCCGACATAGCCAAAATGTATCGGATGATAAACGTCGAGGAAAATCAACGAGATTTTCAACGCATCGTTTGGCGTTCTTCAGCCGATGAACCGATTTCTCACTATCGTCTCAATATAGTAACATATGGCACGTCAGCAGCAAGTTACCTCGCGATAAGATGCTTCCATGAGGTAGCCAACGAATCACAAGTTCAGTTCCCCGAAACTAGCGAAGCAATATTACGCGATTTCTATGTGGACGATTAACTCACAGGCTCCGCTACTATTAACGGCGCGCGTACATTAAAGAACAATCTCTCACAAATATTAGGTGAATACGGCTTTCATTAACGAAAGTGGGTTGCCAATGATATTCATATATTGGAAAAATACAAGTTCGATAACGAAGATAATTATTTCATCACCGATGATGACTCGAAGAAAACTCTTGGATTGTGGTGGCAAGCAAAATCAGATACGTTTTCCTTTAAAGTGAATTCTGTGGAAATACCCGGTCCAATCACGAAACGCTCGATTCTATCTTCGATATGCAAAATATTCGATCCTTTGGGATTAGTTGCACCTGTTACCATTACCGCAAAGCTTATGATGCAGAAATTATGGGAATTGATCGTTGAGTGGGATGAGACTCCCCCTACTCATATTACACATACTTGGCTTGAATTAGGTAAGCAATTACCTATGATAAATAACTTAAAAATCCCGCGGCAAGCTTAAGTATTGAATGCCGAACGTGTTGAACTACATGGGTTCTGTGATGCTTCTCAGTCAGCATATGGTGCATGCATTTATCTGAGAAGCTTCGCAAGTAATAGGGTGGTTACGGTTAGATTACTCGCAGCAAAGTCCCGAGTAGCACCTGTAAAGACCGTATCCTTGCCACGATTAGAATTATGCGGCAACTCATGAGAGCAACTCATTTTTGGACAGATACTACAATAGTTTTGTCTTGGTTGTCGAACCCACCTAATACTTGGAAAATAATTGTAGCCAATAGGGTTTCTGAAATTCAAAATCATACCGATATTAGTCAGTGGGCACACGTTTCATCCGAATACAATCCAGCGGATATTGTATCTCGCGGTATCGAACCTTCCAAACTCGAAAGTTGTTTTTTATGGTGGCACGGTCCTAAATGGTTATCACTGGAAAAATGTCATTGGCCAAATTTTCGCATAAACAGCGAATTGAAGGAAAATGCACCTGAAAGGCGTAAGGTAAAGGTATCATTCGTAACAGTCAATTTCAATTTCGTCATATTTAAAAAATATTTTGCACTCCATCGCCTTCAGCGTGTGGTTGCACTCATTTTACGGTTTTATAAAAATTGTTGAATGAAACTATCCAATCGGAAAGGAGAGAAAATTACTAATGAAGAAATGAGTCACGCGATGATGGTTTTATTAAAAATAGCTCAAAGGGAAATGTTTCCACAGGAGATCTATTGTTTTGAAAGAAAAAAGGCAATTTCTAAAAATTCTAAACTGACGACTCTCAACCCTTTTTGTGATTAAAATCAGTCAATACGCGTTGGAGGTCGACTTAAAAATTCGGAATTTTCGTACGATAAAAAATTTCCAGTGGTTTTAGCGCAAAACCACGCATTAACGAAACTGATTATTTTAACGGAACATTATCGACAGTTGCATTCTGGACCCCAAGCTCTTTTAGCATCTTTACGTCAGCGATATTGGCCAATAAACGGGAGAATGGCTTTACGCAGCGTTTTAAGAAAATGCTTAGTTTGTTTTAGGGCGAATCCTATTAGTATGAATCGTATTATAGGTAATCTTCCTGCGAACAGAATTACACAAAATCGACCTTTCTCTATTACGGGGATAGATTTCGCGGGACCCTTTAATATTAACAATTTTGAAATTGAGAAATCGCAAAATCATCAAGGCATATTTATGTATTTTTATTTGCTTCACTACAAAGGCGGTTCATTTGGAAACAGTGAGTGATCTCAGCAGTGTGGCGTTTCTTAATGCTCTGAAGAGGTTTGTTTCGCGTCGTGAACTTTGTAAGGTCATATATTCGGACAATGGAACTAACTTTGTGGGGGCTAAAAATGAATTGAAACGAGTTTATGATTTGTTGTCTGAATTTATCTCTGAGCAGAAGACTTCTAATTTCCTATTAGACAACAAAATTGATTGGAATTTTATTCCTGCCCGAAGTCCCCACCACGGAAGGCTTTGGGAAGCGTCAGTTAAAATCGCGAAATACCATGCGGCTCGAGTCATAGGTAACAGTAATTTAACATTTGAGGTAATAACAACGGTTTTTACTCAAATAGAAGCCGTTATGAACTCCCGTCCACTCACTCCTTTATCCAACGATATAAACGACTTTAGTGCCCTAACAGCTGGCCATTTCCTCATTGGCGAAACCTTCACATCAATTCCTCAAACAGATCTAACGTAGCTTCCAGCAAATAGATTGACACAATATGAACGGTTGCAACAAATCGCCCAACATTTTTGGCAAAGATGGTCCCACGAGTACCTGAGCCAGGTTCAGCAACGTTCAAAATGGAAGGAGCATTCTGATGACATTCTTAAGGTGGGATCCATGGTAATCCTCGTAGACGACTGCATTCCATCCCAGCATTGGTGGTTAGGAAGAGTACTCAAACTTCACCCAGGCTCAGATGGAATTACCTGGGTGGTCAGTGTTAAAATATCCATGGGAGTTACAAACGCGCAGTTCAAAAACTGTGCTTACTGCCAATTGATAACTGATATCCGGCAACCCTCCTAGAATAAACAGTGTACCAGACAATATCATTTGAAAGACTTGGTGCTTTCAAGGGTGGCGGTATATTGCGTCGCACGCCTTTGTTTTGTTTACGCATAAAACCAAATTATGTTAAGGACTGCCTGCTACGCGAGGTATTTTTATTGCAACCCTAAAGAGTGGTGAGGTGCGGGGTGCCAGGCAAAGTGACGACCAGACAAGAGTATTTTAGGGAGAGTTGAATCGAGTCCATCGACGAGAACGCATTGCAATTCATTGTAGCATATTTTTCCACACGTTTTATGTTGTATCAGTTCAAAATAAAGTTGATTGTCATGAGTTAGTGAATCATTTAAACGGAGTAGTTTAAGGAAACATCGAGATAAAAACAATATATATTCTAATAGATTTGAAGATATAGCAACTAATAGCTGAAAAATACTCACAGTACTTTATTGCACAATTTTCTGAATCAGAATCTTGATCGAAGTCCTTCGTGGTGAATTTGGATCCCAAATGGTACGTGAAAGGATCTCCAGCGTCCCCAGAGTAATTTTTCAACGTACGCAAAGAATAGCCCTGCTTCTCTGAACCAATCGCAAACTCTTTGTAATGAGCAAAAGCTTTTATGTCATCTCTATCGACGATTTCTACTAGTAGTTCGTTGGTTTCCGAACCTGTTGAAATTTCATTGACAAATGAATGAATAATTGTGTGGAGTTAAAAAAAATGAAGCGGTTATTGAAATAACTAATTTTTAGGGTTGCAACATCAGAAACAATAATTCAAATTCAATCAGATCAATGGCAAAGATGAAACTGACAATAAATAGTTTTTCATGAAGGTGCACAATTCACATCAAAGCAGATATCGATCAGCAGAGTTTATTTAAGGAAACAGTTTTCAGGAAAGTATAGTTTGATGTGTTGAGTCAAACTTCGAAGCAAATAACAACTTGTATTTCACCGCGTTTTCATTCATATGTATGTCGTCTGTTTATTGCCTTTGAAGTATCTATATAGAAAAGGCAAATCCTAACATATCTTCTATGCGCAAGGCTATCAAAGATGCTTGTGGTGTTTCCTGGGTAGAATCTGGTAGCCTCAGTATACGTGAAAAAATGATATGAATGTTCCAATTTCGTCGGCTACGTACATTTGATCAGCGATTTTTTTATGTTGGTATAATCGTGTCGAACATATGTTTACAGTTTCAGTTGCTCAGCATGTTTAGTTTGTTAGAGAGGGACATGAAAGATAAAAGTGTTTTGCATGTTCGGCGATTTTTTGAAATGTTGACGGTGGTATACGGTGATTTTACTCTGAGTTAAAGAAATGTTTACAAGTGTCAGGTACAAGCTTTTCACAGAAGGAAGCCCCAGCTCATCAACAATCGATGAGAATGTTGAGAAAGTGGAGAAAATTATTTTGGAGAATTATTGAATCATTATTAGAGAAGTTGCTGAGGCTGTCGGCATACCGGTTGACTCATGCCATGCAATTTTTTCAGAAATGGTGAACATGAAGCGTGTGGCAGCGAAGTTGGTTCCAAAATTGCTGAATTTTACCACAAATCCGTCTCATGAACATCGCTCAGAAACTGTTGAATGACGTCAACGGCTACTCAGATTTGCTCAAAAGCGCCATACCTGATGACAAAACTTGGGTATATGGTTATGACATTGAAAACAAATTCTAATCGTCTCAATGGAAGAGCCCATGAGAGCCAAGACCAAAATGTCACCAAATGTCAAGGTTTGGCTCACTATTTTCTTCAGAGTTTTTGCCACATGGTCGTTCGGTCGATGAGGAATATTATTTCAAGATTATGCGCCGTTTCCGCAGAAAATGCCCGGTATTGTGGAAAAACAAAACATGACTTTTGCATTCCGAATGCACCTGTTATCCCGTTTCCCCGTTTCTGCTTGCCACCATATACACTAGATTTTGCCTCCTGCAACTTTTTTTTGTACCAAAGATCTACCTCATTTTTCAGGTTTGGCGTTTCATTGGGATATGTACAACTTTCTGAAGGGAATTTTCGTTGCAAGTTTCTGAGAAACTGACACATTGGTTATTCATATGACTGTCAAAAATTATATGATGCAGCTAGTGAATTCCTTATAGTGTCACCACGGATTTTTGTCGGATTGAATTCTACTTGGTCTACGAAAAAGGCGATATCATGTCATGTACGGTCCAAGACTTCAAGACTCCTACTTGTAATATTTTATAATAGAATGACATGTTTTTGCTTCTGAAAACCACATTGATGATCACTCAAAAGTTGAAGCATCTCAAATATTCATGAATATGATTTTTGTAGTTTCTATGATTCATGATTTCCGATATAACTGATATTAAAGCAAGTGGTTTTTGTTCACTAATTGTTTCATTTTTGATTTTTATATCAAATCCACTCGATAAATAATTATGATATCATACTTCAATAGTGAGCATAAAAATGTGTAAAATATGCGTTGCGTCAAATGTCGTCATTTGAAAAAAAGTGATATTTTTTTGTATCTTGGCCAAGAAGTGTTCAGAATCACTTTCCCCCTCATAAATAATTGAGCGTAATATTCAGGTGGTGAGACTCATTGTGACGATTCTTCTTTTTCACTAGTAAACTTAATCCAGTTGATTCACCGCTGCATTTCAATGTCTTACATTATTGACAATATCAACAGATTTGTCGGCACAATAATCAATTTTCGGATCGTATTGGAATGGATCATCTCTAGGACGCAACTCTGACATGCCAAAACAAACAGTGCTTTCTGTTTCGTTGCTCATCAGTGAGGTTAGCACATGACGTAGCTCGTCGCACATTTGTTCGACCTGAAAAAGTTCTCGCGCTCCAGCTACTATGGCAGTACTTTAAGAAAGTCACAAAGGGAACGAATGGCATACGTGTTTCTTGTGAAATATTTATAGTGCTGGGTCATCTATTTCACTTGTTAGTTATTTATTTTTCAATTTTTCACCTTCCAAACTTTTGTTGAACTTCTAAAAATGTTCCAAAATCGGTCCAGACTTTCTCGATTTTCAGTGAGACCAACAGAGTTTATTTCATTTTTATATATTACAATATAACGAGTACTTTATCAAGACCGGAAACTGCTGTTTCACTTGACAATACGAAAAGTACAGTGTATGAAGTAGGTTGTGCATAGTGTTAAGAGTAAATTCGACTTTTCCATCACTATTTAACCGTCTGCTTGTATTGGTGGTCGAATTGTAGATTTAGTGAAACTCTGCTTTCAGCAAAGTATCAGATAAAACCATTATGACTAGTGGAGATTTTTTTTCAATTCTTTCATTGTATAGTTGAGAATAACTACAGCCACTTCAGAAGCAACTGTTCATGGATCCTCATGTTTGAAACAAACATCTAGCCAGTGGAAAATTCGAAAATGGTCTCGAATATCTTAATATTCAGCAAATATGAAGAGCCAAACTACGCAGTCTTCAAAGTAGTTATATCTAAATAGAATGGAAATCGTAGTCTGGTTGGAACTTGTTTCAGCACTGACTTTGATTTCGGTGAGTGCTAGAATATGAGAACTATCCGTATATAGACGTGGATGCATTGAATTGTCATTTCAATAGAGTTCCCTATTATATCTATCAGCAACTTCGGTTAGCAAACTATCAGAAATAGTTGTTTCAAAATAACTTTCGCAAAATGAGACTTATTGAATGTTCAATTGACTTAATTTTTTTGAAAAATGAAACATCTGAAACTTTTACTGAGGGGTTGTGAGAGGGTTGAGTTCAGTGCTGAGTTCAGACATATTATCATATGAGGTTATTCTTAAAAACCATAAATCTGTCATTCCACAGTAGCAAAAAAATTATTCGAAACGCTGAATATCAAGGCACATTCTCAAATATGTGAAATGATACACAATTTCAAGCAACACTGATATAGTGTATGCAAACAAAGATCAACACGTGTTATTTTTTCTCAAGTGTTTTTGAAGCCTGACTTTATACCTGCTTCACGATGGCCCGAATCACGTTCTCAATGTTAGCAGTTTCATGATTGCTATCGGACCTAGAAGCTGGAGCTCACCATCAATCAAACCAGTTCTTGATTCAAAAAAGTGTTTCAAAATATACCCACCTGTCATGAGATGAATATTCTCAAGTCCCATCCAGAACTCCCTCTTGAGGTTCCCAAATCCAAATTTATACTCTCGCCAACCCAGAAAAAAATCTTGTGAGCCATCTAATCTTCTTTGAATATGTGTCCAGCCACCTCCCATTGTTTCCATATCACATAAAACCATGAATGATTTTCCAGCCATATTTAGTTCAATTTCGTATACTCCAGAAATCAGATTACCTGAAAATTCCGATAGAGAAAGTTGTGGAGTTATATGGAAATTGTATATTGAAAAAATCACCATTTTGCTGAATTTCTTTGCAACTTTTTGGGAAGGTTTTCTTCACATTTTCCAGTTTATCACAAAACAAACTTTGTTTGTCAACTCCTACAAGGTATTGACAGTTCATTGTGAAATCAGAGGTACTCGGCCTGAAATAGAAAATTTTATAGTCTTTGTAGATTGCACTCAGAAAATAAACATGATGATGATGAAGATGAAATTACTATCAGAAAAATATATATTTATTCTACCGGATTCACTGTTGATCCAGTTGAGACTTGTTACTGAAATAGAGTTGCAGAAGATGGCGAGTTGCTTTATTGACTATCTAACCAAAAGAACTCTGTAGCGAGAAAAGGAAGATATGAAATGTATTTCCAAACCACCTCTAAAAAATCTATTGAAATGCGTGCAACCCTAATGAAGTGGGCAGATCAGGGAGTATGACCTATACTTCATTTTTCGATTGACTCCAATATTTGGAGATACAAAATAACACAGTACGAGCTATCTTCAATGTCTGCGACAAAAATCCTCTAGAATTTAATGGGCACGTGATACATCTTGTAAAATTTTCGAATATCTGTGGTTTTTGTTGGTGGTGAACTGTAATAACTAATTTTTACTTATTTTATTTCACTATATAACATTAAAATCAACAGTTTGAAAATAACTTTCCAAAACGCTCGAAAGTGCGAACTCCTTTTCATAAGAGAGGATGTATGCATCTCCACTCACAAGCAATTTTGGTCAAATTGGTGACACGTGTGAATAATTGTTTTCGTGCCACGTGCCAGTATAAGGATGTCTGAAGAATGCTGTATAATGTCCGCTGTAGGTAGACCTACTGCTGCATAATTGTTCATATCTAATCGATCTAGAGGAAATTCGATGGCAACATTTAACTTGCCTCTAAATCTTTCTGTTAAAGAAAAACTTTTGAAATGGATGACTGAAATACGGGGAAACTTATGGATCGATAGAGACTTTGTGCATTTTCTTCTTTCCTTGCAACTTGAACACGTCGGTTTTTCATGTCCATCCAAAGTTTTTTCTCTTGGGAAGAAATCCAAGCACTGTGATGAACTCAATTGGCCAGTTCTTCGTGGTATGGGGAGTGACAAATCCCAGAAAGGATCGAAGGACCAAAGAAATTATCTACAATCTTGGAGTTATATGTACTCAAATAAATCACCATGACTCTTGTGCTTTTCCGCTTTTCGCTCAATTTTTCCTTAACCTCCATTAAGGTCGGTTTAGTTTTTTCAATAATTCTATTAACGTCATCATGTAAAGATTCTGAAAGATAACGAAGGAACTCCTGGGCGTCTTGATGCGCATGACCCATAAATCGAGGGGAAAAACTCTGAATCGGACTTTTTAAGGAGACTGTGTTCACTGCTCTATTAGATGAATCTTTTGACCACGATTCCTTGATAACTTCTGCGGAAGCTCTGATTAGAGCACTCTCCATACTAGAATTGTTAGTATTGACATCTTTCATGTACTCATCTTTTTTCAAATTTTCCACTTATTTGATAAACATTGGATTACACTGTTCATGAAACAGGTTTTTGCCAATATTTTTCAACCCATTGAGCGCAAAGGTTTTGACTGAGAAATGTGTCACTGATCTAATTGTGTTGGAGCTGTTGGTGATACGTTCATTGCCGCTATTGTCTTTACATAATCACGAATGCAATGATTCTTCCCATCATTGGACCAACGGAATAAGGAATTTGAAGTTGAATTTCTTGAAACTGAATCAGATATATTCATGGTGGTTTTTTCGAATTTGTGAGAGAAAGATAATTCCAGAATTTGTTAATTTTTCTCTGCATCTTCTGTGACAATTGAGAAGTGATCAATCTGCTTACTCCATTTTGCGATGTTCAGCAAGTATTTTGGTGAACTCTTTCAGGTTCCAAAATCTTCCCAATGAATATTCTTGGGCCTCAAGAATAAACCAATCACTTTTAAATCCAATCAAAGTTCATTCCTCATTTTCAAATTAACAATTCAAATAATGTTTTTGAAAATGTAGCTGTTTTGAGAGGGCTTCTCCTTTCAGTATATGTCTGAAAGTAACTTATTTGCATGATCTACACATCTTTGAATAAATGTTACTTTTTTTGAAAGTGATTACTTCCCTCTTTTCCTTGGAGGATACCTACGTTTTTGTATCGAGATGGAGAAGTAGAAAGCAAAAAATTAGTCTCTCCCGAAAAATACACCCCTTTCAATTCAAACAAATTAGCAAATTATTATCATTACGTTAACCGATGGTGTGCATACTCAAGGAAATATAATTAATCAGTTGAATAAGAGAACAAGGATATCACTGTGAGAAATTCCTTCATTTTCATAACATTCATTTTTCTTTGTAAATAAATCAACTAATGTAGATTGGTCCCTGAAGTTGAAACTAACAATTCTAGTTACGGTTTGTTTTCTTTGCCTTCTCGTCTTGTAAAACTGACATTCGTTATATTCGGCCGATGCTTTCTCTCCATCAATAAACGATTCGCAAATCAATTTACTTCTTTAATTTTTTCTTTATACCCACTTCCGTCTCCACTGTTTGAGAAGGTAATAGCTGGTGCCCAACACATATTATTTCTATTTTTCTTCCTTGTGATTTTCTACTCAGGTACTCATTCCTTCTTTGTTTCTCTAACACAAATGATATAAAATTGAAACTTAATGGTTTATTTTATATTTTGAAAAAAACTCGTTTTCTCTGTCGAGTTATCTAACTGGATTCTTGATAAGGTTTCCTCTCTCATTTTTTTTAAAGAGAGATGTGTGTCTAAGCGACACTAATTTGTATATATATTACCATAATTAAGATATTCCACTAATTCATATTTTTTTAAAGAATCAATAATGGAAGTAAATAGGTTAATCGGTAATGATTTTGTCTATGAACTGAAAATAAGAGAATTACCAGTTCAAAAAACGGTGATAAAATTCTGATTGATTTCGAATAATGATTTACGATTGGAAAAAATAGATGGAGCTCAGAGATTTCTATCATCAGAATTAGATCCACAAACAGAATTAGATATTTGTGATCAAAAAGTAGTAGATCTTGCCAAATATATTGATAATTTTGATGGAACTAATGGATTAAACAGTTTTAATAGAATTTCGTCAAAATTGTTTCATTTGAATTCGCGTTTACAGAGGATACCTGTTACGGAAGGGATTGAAAAAGAAACTCAGGTTCAATTAATTTCTAGATATAAACGGTTGAGGGAGTGACTAGTCGTATTATATAATTCATCATCTCATGCTTGTATAATATCCTTTATCGGATTTTTGTTGTTGTTCAAGAGCTAGGTTATGCCTTTTTTGTTCAGCTAATTGTTCACGATTAGTTTTAGCATCGTTCACTGCTTTTGCAATGTTCGCACCGCCACCTGCCACTGCCCCAAGAGCACCTAATAATGGAAGTGAAAACGGTAGGAATCCTCCTTTTTTGGGAACACGAATAATTCGCTTTTTTGCATTTTCGTTAATTTTTTCTTCTTCAATCCCATACCAAGTTTACGTTTTTCCCTTCATTGCAGTTGTTATGAACCAAGCAGCTGCCTTTCCTACAAGTTTAGCGTCTTTCGCTTTAAATCTTTCCCAAGCTTTCTTTTCCAATATTTCGTCAGCTCGATGTCTGTCACTAAGAAATTTACTTTCAGAATAGGCAATGTCGTGCTCTTTGCATGCAGTATCCAAAGAATTAATGCCTGGATCCCCACGTCCTAATCGTTGTTGTGATTTAGTGCCCGCTAAAAATCAAGAAGAAAAACATTGATGAGCTCTAAAAAAATGCATTCACTCACGTCCACAATAGTTGTATTTTGGTAGATGAAGTTCAAATTACCTTCAGTCGCAATGAAGTTACCAAAACAAAACGTTTCTTTGCTCATCAACAATTATGATTTCAATGTTGTACAAAATATATCTCCTGTGATTTGAATCCAAATCTCAGGAGATATATTTATCATTATAGCAAATGTAAGATTTACAGTGCTTCACACTGAATTACTTGAAACACCCTTTGTATTACTACTATCAATGGAGGAGTCTGACGTCACTATTTTTCGATATTTCATGATGGCGAGTTACTTTTGATGGTGATTCTAGTATCACTAATTTTCTAGAGGGAATCGAAAAGATACGAATTTCCCGCGGAATCTCTCCAAAACAGGGTTTTTTGATCAGCCCCTGAACTCTTCATCGAAAATGCATAATTGTGGTATCGAACACAACGTTTTAATTTTCAGACTCGTCTATTCAGGAAGCTAAAAAAAAGGTGATCAGTTTCATAGTGGCAGTGGGAAATCTTCTCAACAAACCTGGATCAAGTAAACCTTTTGAGAATTTGTTGTGTGGAAATGATAAAAAGGAATCTGCTCCCCTATATTCAAAATCATTTGGCCTTACCTGAAATATATTCGCTAGCAGAATTGACCAGACTGAGTCGAGCTATAGCTCGACTTCTAAAGAAGAGAACTCAGTGAGGATCCAAACCTTTCGCATGCCTTCTACAAATACAAAACCGCTACTAGAACAGGATTTAGTGTACAGAAAACTAGCTGGGAATTATTCGAAAAACAATCCTGTATACGCTGTTCAATATGAGGCTGAGAAACGAAATCTTGAATCTAAATTTACGAACGACCACCCAACAATCATACCTAGTATATATTGAAATTGTAATGAATCTGGACATAAGTTCAAAAATGTAAGAAGGAAAGTTTGTTCCACGTGTGGTCGAGAAAATACCATCTAAAAAGCTGCACAGATTATCAAAATAATTATGAAACAAGATTCGTCGTAGATCAGTCACAACTTTACACTCATCAAAATCCGATCGAATTTACTTCCTATGGTACTCATGTGACAAGTCATGCAGATAATGAAAAAAGACCGTACTTGGAAGTGAATATATTCGGTAGAGTTTCTCGGTATTTTGGACAGTGGCTGTTTGAAGACAGTGATAGGTCCAAAGGTCGAACCTTTGCACTGTAGCTAATGGAGAGAAGTGTGAGGTAGAAGGTACAATGAGCGTCTCCGTTTGGCTTTATGATCGAGTGAAAGTAGCTGAAGCCATAGTGGTGACATCGATTCCACATGTTTTAATTTTGGT